TGTTAGAAATCTAATTTCTAGATGATTTCTAACTCTTATTTATACAACAAAAAAAAAATGATTCCGACGAATTTGATATATCAAACAGATCAAAAAACGAACAAATCAAACAATATATACAAGCCATCATTAATCGCAAATTTATAAATTCATAATCAGTGAACAATAATGGCTAAGGGCCAAAAAATCGAAAAGAAAAAAAATTTTCTCAAGAAAAAACTGAACGTGAATTAGCTCTGATATCAATTGTTAGAACTAAAAAAAATCACATTCAATTTTGAGAGAAATAAGCCATAGATTAGCGGAAGCGTACCGGAATCTATTAGATCGATTGCACAAAATATGATCTTCCAATCTGCAGATTTTCCAGATTTTCCTTAGTTTCTTGTTGATGAGGTGCAAGAAAAGGGATGTGTCTTTCTGCAAATTGGGGACCATCACCCTTTGAAGTAACTACCATGCGGTTACAAAAAAAGTTTTGCTTAATTCTAATTCTGCCCCTCATCAAATTAGAATTTGCACTTATGGTATCCACACTATAATATCATGACAAATGTGTCCAAAATCATAAACTTAATTCTAAATTAGACCACAATAATTTTGACTTATTTAATGATGACCCAACACATTTATTAATTACATTGTAGTCCAAAAATTAATCCAACATTTCCACCTTCAAACCTAGCCCCCCTTCACAATAAAAGAAGTGAAGTGTTTATAAAATCCAAGAGGTTGAAGCATCCTAGGCGGGGCTAATGAGAATGTAAAGTGCCATGAGATGCACGTCATCCATTCTTAAGTATGAGAGTTTTTAGAGGTCCTAACATTGAGTGATTCATAGAACACATGACATCTTAGGTAATCACAAACAGCCAAATTTGAGCTAAAATTGTACTCTAGACCTACCAAATCCTCTTATATTTCCCACCATTTACTTGGATACTTCATTGACAAGCTAGATTCACTCAAGTGAAACATAACCAATGTAAAGTCAATATGTGGTAACCATTTGAGACCAAATTCAACCACTTGGGCTCATATTCTTTTCAAAATGAAACATTTATTCATTAATACCTTGAAATAATTCAGTTAACATCCATTTTTAATGCATTCGGTGTTTCCTAACATACATTATGTAAGACATGTTTCTGGGAAAGCAAAAGATCAAACTGAACTCCGTAAAATTCAATTTTCTCTCCATTCCGTCTTCTTTCGATGTAAATCTGGATTTACTAAATCTGACTATTAGGTGGATTTAACACATTTAGCTTAGAAAGTAAACCCGTCAAAGGAATTATGCCAAGCACTTCAAACATATTTAATTGGATTTAACCTTAACTGAACCAAATACTATTCTGGATCTACATCCTATTTAACTTAAATCCAGGTTGGAGCCAAACAACCCCTAGAAATTTAGGTGGCGTGAACTCAAGTGATCTAAAGAGGGGATAAAGTCAAATTCTTTTGGTCTGGAAAAGACAAAGGAGAAAACCTCAACGGTCAAAACCACAATAAACTTTGGGACGATAAACCAAATCAGGATTTTTATACAAACAAAATTCAAAATCTGAAATAAAGCCAGAAACTTTCCGACCCGATCAAGTCAATTCATCTTTCAGATTGAGAATGCCTCACAAAAAAATTAGCATTAAAATCAATAAACTATATCATAAAAATCATACTTTTGTTAACTCCAAAATACACATCGAGAACCAAATCCAGATCCCGTATTTCACAGAACACATTGCAAAAGAATGAAAATCAAGATCCAGAATTCAGAACCTTAGCTGCTGCTTTAAATTGTGGATGAAGCAATCCAAGTTCATCCTTGACCTCCAGAGGATTAGCCGTTTCATTTCGAACTCTCTTCACCTTCCAGCTCGCCAATGATCTGTGAGAAAAACCATACATTTGCAGGATCTGATTGTCCCCAAAATTGAACGCTCTGTCCATCTGCTTCAGGCATCGTTCTACAGGATAGTCCCCAAACTTCCCACACGGCTTACAGCCGACAAAATGCGTGACAAGAGGCCAACGATGGTCGCCGAGACCTGGGTGATAGTTCTCCATCATCTCCTCATACCTATCCACAAGAATTCCCCAGTATCCATGGAGATAGTAAGCGCTCTCGAGGTAGACCTTATCGGCCCATCGATTTTTCTGGGTGACGAGGAGGTAAACCATGGCGGACTGATCGTCGGCTTCAAACACCGGTCGGTCTTTCAGAAACTGGGTAAGGATCTTACCGGCTTCCTCCCGGATTTTGCCCTTAGGACCCATGGGAGCCCAAGCATCGAGAAGATCAAGCGACCATTGGGAATTCCGGAGGAGAAAGCTTCCGGTGTTGAGGCCGATCCAGTTCCGGTCATCGTACACCATCTCGTTCCAGCCGTGCATGATGAGGTTATAAGATGCGTAGCGGTCCCAGGGGAGCTCGAAGGCCATGTCGGTGAACATTGCGTCGGAATCCATCCACCATAGAAACTCGATTTCAGGGTGGGAGAGGAGGAGTTTGCGAATGAGGGGAAGCTTGGCCCAGAATCCGGCCATTTCGGCATCCAGAAGAGCCATGTTGTAAAAGATCTCGATTCCATGAACGCGGCAGTAGTCGATCTTGTTCTTGATCGATTTCAAGAGATAATGATCGCCGACAGGGTTTTCGCAGGGCTTGGGAGAGGATCCGGTGACAAGGAGCACGCGGGGTTTTGTCGCGGTTAGGAAATTGGGGGTTTCGGGATGGGATTGGAGCCATTGAGCGCGCTGGTTATCCCAATCGGAGATTTTGGGACCGAGGGAATACAGCTTGGCAGAATCTGGAACCGGATCCTCTTCTTCTGCGACGCCGGTGGTGGAGGAAGATGAGGAATGCTGCTCGATGAGGATACGGTGGCGAGAGTGGAGGCGGCCGCTGAGTTTGTTGAAATCCTGCTCCGGCGTGCCGAATTTGCCGGCGCCGAGAGTGCCGCGGAGGACGATGATGGTCATGAAGAGGCATAAAAGGGTGAGCTTTCCTTTGCGGAGAGCTCGCTGGATCTTGCGCGCACGGCGCTCGTTGAAGCAATGCTCCCACATTTCAGGGGAAATTCCGCGAGCAGTCCTCCCTCTTCGCTATGTATCGCGGCTGGTGCTGCGATTAAATAATGGGAGGGGGAGAGGACCGCGGGGATGAAGGAGTTAACCTCGGCACGTTATTGTTTTAAATAAAAATCTGATTTTTCTTTCTTCTTCCTGCGGGAAGATGGACATGCCGGAAAAGATTAGGGTTTTTAAAATAATTGAAGAGAGCAGGACCAGGAATGGAGCAAAAAATTGAAAGAAAGGGGACAAAAAATCTCTTTTTTTTTATTTTTCTTAATTTTTTATTTGAATAATTTTAAAATAATTTTTATTACTATTTTTAATACCACTCAAGTTTAATTTTTTTAAAATAAAGATTATATTTTTATGCATAATGACATGTATCTAAAAATTAAAATTTAGGTTTTAGGTATGTAAATACATGAAAATTAAATGATATGCATGCATATATTTCTAAAAAAAATTATAAATTATAAATCCAACCTCCATATTGAGAGAGTATTGAATTATTGCATGACTACCAATATCATTATTTTTATTATTATAAGGGATTAAATTTCTTTCAATAATGGATATTAGAGTAAAGAAAAATAGCCCTTTCATCAACCTTTTTCAACTAGTTTCTTTCAAATGAGACTTTAATTATATAATATATAATTTATTATGCATCAATTAAAAATAAGTAAATTTACTTACTTATCCCATAAATTTTATTCATTTACGTATTTAACACATAAATTTTGATGTTTACATTTATAACAGAATTGAATATTAGATATTTAATGGACGGAAGAAAATATTCAAGAGAAACATTCAGTTAGAATCTAAGGGGTTTTACTGAATGAACTAATAAATATAAAAAATACTTAAATAATATTTTAAGTGATTTTATAGTAATGTAAGTATATGATAATAAGCATACAAAATATATATTATATAATTTAAATTTTAAATGCTTAGATTATAGTAGCGAGTTTCGATCTGGCGAACGTGGTGTCAAGACTAAGAGGATGATGGATTTCAGACGGATTTCAGACATGCTTGCAATGATAGCAAGAGGAAGGCTTGGGGGTTGTAAATCAGTAAGACAACAAAAAGGATTTTGTGCATCATTTTAGGAAGGATGGGGAGGCCAAGTTTTTAGATGGTCGTCATGGCGTTCTTCTCGCTCTACTCCCGTGCTGCATGTTTGGAATTTTGACATTTATGTTTCAAAGACAAGTAACGAGTAACTCAACTCAATTTGTTTATTTCGTTCGTTAGCTATGATGCAAAGTGAGAGATGTCGTGAAAAGGCAAGCTACTTACAAAGGTTAGCGTGGAGAGACGAACATCAGAGAATCATACAATGATGTTGATATTATTAACGTGATATTAAAAATTTGAGTGATATAAATATAAAAAAATTAAATTTATAAAACACATAAAAATCGAGGGGTATATATGTAAAAGCCGCTTAAAATTTGAAGAGATCTGAAAAAATCCAAATATTGTATAAAGCAGCCCAAGTCACGTGCGGTCTGGCGCCGATCACCAAAACCCTCGCCGCCGCTTCCGACCGCCGTAGGTATTAAAATTTCTGCTCATTCTTCCGGCGACGTAGAGTACGGACTACGGTGAAGGTTCAACGCTCTTCTTATACCTTATGATCCTTTCTATTCGACCAGAGTGAAATTTCTTTGCTCGGACTGTTCTGCGTGGAGGTAAGTAAATCCTTACACCTTTTCACTGGGTTTGAAGAGCTAATGAATTCAAGACTGTGTGAAAAATGGCGATTTGGTTTTATTGATGAGCGAAAGAACGAACGAGTTTGAGTATGGTGGGTTGGCTTGTTCGCCGTCCTTTTCAGGAGAGTTTTCGAGTGAGATTTTCAGTGGTATCAGTCACTGCAAGCGGAAGTGAAGGGTGATTCATGCAGCAAGAGGGATAGGAGAATTTATTGGAGAAGAGAATCGGAGCTAAGGAATGGGTTTCTGTGTGTTATTCAACATGAAGAAGTATGAAGTTCTTAGCTTTTATTTGTAGGCGAGGTTGCAGTATCCTGGCACTGAAAGTTCTGTGCGAGTTGAATTGGATTGATGTGCCATCTGATCATTATGTGGTTTCCTTGTGAAATATGTGACAGATTGGAGATAAGCCATCGCCATGCTGAGCCTCAAAGGTTTGGATCAAATGGCAAATTTTGTTGTATTGTGTTTGAAAAGGTGAGGCGGATTGAGTGACGTGTTAATCATTTGATACATACAAATAGGAGAGAAAGTGGATGGTTGTTGTTTGATCTAGACAATCCAAGCCAAACTGAATTTGACTGGGTGTAATTGGTCCAAACCAGTTCAAACTGGATTTACTTTAGTTCACTAACCGCTTCCATGGAGTTCAGCCATTAAAGGGTAAGTAAAGGGAAGTGAGCCTCCCATTTAATATTGAAGAAAAGCAAGAAGATAGTGGGTATTGTGTAAAGGTCTAATGGCTACAAATCCTTATTTTTGAAAATAGTATATCACATAAGAAAGTAAGTGGTTAGGGGCATTGGTGAGCTACACCAACTATGTTAGTCCTCCAACTAGAGGTGTTGAATCAAATTCAACTCGAAAATTTTGTGTTTGGTCTAACTTGAATAATTTTTAAGTCAGGCATGGGTAAATTCTAACTCGCTTGTTTTTTAGACCGGGTTCAGGTTAACCCATCAACTTGAAATCTACTTGAAATTGGCCCACTAACTCGGAAATGACTCGAAATGGACTCACCATATCGAAATTGACTCGAGATTGAATCCAAAATCAACCTAAATTTGATCCTGAATGATTGTTGTGCCTTGTGTTAAATAGGTTATATGAGTCGGGTTTGTGTCAACGGGTCAACAATGGGTTGAACTTTCTAAACCGTTTACCATTCAGGTCGGGTTCATGTTAAATAGGCCTGGGTCGGGCCAATTTAAGTCGACCCACAAACAGATTTTGTGACCCGTAACTCCAGTTGTCCAAGGAACACGTTTGACCCTTGTTGCAACATGTATTGGATATATTTTTTGCTTGCTTGGGAATCAAAGCAATATATGGATGTCACTATTTTTTCTTTTATTGAGGATGCAATAAGGTCGGTTTGAATATATTTTGTTACTGCCGCATAAGCAGTTTTTTTGGTTAAATAGGAGGAATTATCTCTATAGCATATTTCGATGCTTAACCATCCTAAGCTATTTTTGTGAGTTGTTTGAGCTATTCTCTCCTTCCTAAGAAGGTGGAACAAATAAGATCAAGTTGAATTTAACTTGCAAACTTCTTAGATAGAATCCAATTTGCAACTTACTATATAAGCCTGATCTTCTAGACTTCTAAGCCAAAAGAAATTGTAGTTTTACATCATAGTTAAATGTGTAACTTAATGTCCGCTTGTTAGTATCCCAGGTTTTAGGGCAGTGTCACCACCTTATGTTAGTATCCACTTGTTAGAATCCAGAGTTGACTCCAGCAACAACGCTTAGAAGGAATAATATGACATCCAAACACCTAGAATAAGCGGCAACAGGTAGAGCAAGACGATGTGTGATTCAGGACTAAAGAAGATTAATTTGAAGGATTTTTGCTTGGAACAGAGAACCACGGTGGGTGGGGCCCCAGTCGAGAGCTGTATTCAACCGCACCAGTGCCTTTTGCAGCGGCAGTCTTTCGGACAGAAGGCGATTCATGAGCTTATGGGGACAGTCAAGCAACAAGCCAAACTTATGGGAGAAGAGAAATCAATATGGGCTAAGGATAGGAACCCATGCTCCATTTCATGGGTGGATCGAACTTCGGTCGATGAAATTGTGGAGGAGACTCAAGCATAAGGAAATTGAAGCGACCGATCTTTGAATGAGAGGATGCCTCTGGTTTAGTTTATCACATGAAGATATATATTGCTATTAATGGGTTGACTCAAAAAGAAAAATTGATGGCAGTGACTATGTTGGGAAGGGAAGGCTACAGCGTGTTATCAATATAGTGAACAACATCAGACAATCAAAACATGAGAAGATTTCAAGGATCAATTGTTGGAGCGTTTTATAACAACTTAAGAAGGGGATTTACATGAATATTTTTTTTTGCGTTGGTGTAGGAAGGATCCATCACAGATTATATGGAGAAATTTGAGATGTTATTTGGCCATTTGACAGGGATATTAAAAGTAATGTTGAAAGGAAACTTTATGAAAGGTTGAGGTAAAAAATTCGAGCAACACTTCATTTGTTGAGACTGTAAGGATTAGGGGAAATTATGGAATTAGCGCAGTTGATTGAAGATAAAAAATACAATGGAATATGCTAATATGAGCAGCATAAGTGCAACACCCTACTATAATGTTACTACCACGACCATACCAAAGACTCAAATGGTGAGATTCCAGAGGAATACTCCATAAGACAAGAATAACAGGTCACAATCGGGGGTGGCGTAGATTTAGGAGAATCAACTTAAGGTGTTGTGCTTTTGGTGTGATGAGAAGTTTGTCCTATGACACCATTTCAAGGATCAAATCTTACAAGTTCTGTGTGTTGAGGACTAGACATGGGATGAAGAAATAGATGCTGTGGTGGTGGTGGAGGAGGAGGGCCCCACTTGGATCTGACATAAGTCTCATTGAACTCGGTGGGTCTAATATTAAAACACACTATGAAACTTCGGGGGGAATAAATTAAGAAACATAATGTAGTGGTGTTATTTGATTGTGGGGCCAACCATAACTTCATCTATACTCAAATAGTGAAGCAAGTAGGGTTTGAGATTGCTGACACAAAAGTTTTAGATTCATGATGGAGACGAGACATATGGAGAAGAGCAGAGGAGTTTGTAAGGGGGTGATTTTAATACTGTAAGGTATTTAGGTGATGAAAAATTTTATTCCCTTGGTTTTAGGGAGTACTGACGGTATTGAGTATGAAATGGTTGAAATCCTTAGGGGAGACTAAGATGAATTGAAAACTCATAACAATGGAGTTTCAGTAGGGAGAGAAGATGGTGGTGCTTCATGATGATCCTAGTTTGTGCAAGTCCACGATGACAGTCAAGAACATGGATGGGCAATACAAGACGTAGGGTTGAGATTCTTGATCAAGTTGCATCACATGGAACAAACACATGACACATAGTTGGCTGAGATTATGGTACCTATCCAACAACTCTTACAATAATTACAAAAAATTTTCAGTTTTCACGTGGACTGCCACCTCGAAAGTAACACGAGCATTTAACAACCCTAAAAAGTTTTAGGTTTCTCCTATCATTTTGCGCCTATACCGCTACCTCCATGTACAGAAGGACAAGATTGAGAAATTGATCCGAGAGATGTTGGAGGCCGTGACAATACAATCTAGTATGAATTTCTTTAGCCTAGTCTTGCTAATGAAGATGAAAGATGGGAGTTGATGTTTTTGTGTGAATTATCAGACAAAGATTAAGGAAACAACAACTGACAGGGATGAGCTACAAGATGAGTTGTTTGGGACAGCGACATTCTCCAAGATGGATCCGAAGTCAAGATGCCATTAGATTTGGATGCGGCCAATAGATGTGCTTATGGCTGCATTTTGAACTCATAGAGTCACCATGAATTTCTGGTTATGCTATTTGGGCTCACCAATGCATCGACTATATTTCAATTGATGAATAAGGTGTTTTAGTCTTTCTTCTGGAAGTTTATGTTGGTGTTCTTGGCGATCCTAGTATGCAACCGTTACTTGGAAGACCACATTGATCATTCAAAGGTGTTGATGGTACTCAGTGAGCACTAGTTTTATGCTAAGTCAAAGAAGTGTTTGATGCCCTATCGAAGGTGAAGTACTTAGGACATATGGTGTCTGCTGAAGGGGATTCAACAGATAAATTAAAAGTGGCGACTATATTGGATTGGACACTATCTATGAGCTTGCAGGGGTTGAGGGGATTTTTGGGACTTATAAGATACTATTAGAAGTCGTGAAGTGTTACAGTTCGATTGCGTGGATGTTAAAAGAGCAATTGAAGAAGGATAAACTTTAGGAGGTGACTTATCATTTAAAATTGCCGCCTTCGTTGACCTTCATCTAATTTTCCACGTATTGCTATTGAGATGTGCTATTGGTGATAATTTATCATCCTTTTCACTTCTCCCTACTTGACAGGGGATATTGAAGTTCTCTTGGAGCCACTTGAGTTAAAAGTGGTGCGCTAGGAATCAACAGGTAGAGAAGAAGTGTTGATTAAATGGAAATGATTACCAAATTATGATGCTATGTGGGAGTTATATGATTATATGACCTGATTCAACAACAATTTATTTTTTTCCAAATTGAGGATAATGAGTCTTTTTGGGAGGAGAGTAATGTTAAACCAGTGTACGACACAATCTGTCCTGTGCTCCACTGAGTTGTCGCCAAGACTGTCAAATAGTTTGAAAACTTATATTGGGTGCAAGACTAAAATGATAATTTAATCATTTGTTAGTTTTTATTGTGAGGTATAAACAGGGCTTAGTTTGCTTTGCAATTGGTCTTGTGATTGTTGTTTTGACTATCAGATTTAGGGTTTGGGAGAGAATTACCTACATATCGAATTGTGAGTTTATCTTTTATGTATTTGGAATTGTATCATTTTAATTTGGTACTGGTGGAATAAAATCTATTATTTTGACCCTAATTTATGTGGGTAGTTATCTCGTTCCTATCATATTCCATAAACTTTTTCACACCTCTTGTAGGTGAAAAGGGCACCTCACAACTAATGCACTCTCAAAATAGTCACAGTTTAAATTGCAAGAATTTATGCCCAACTTATGAAGTTTTATGAAAAATTCATAGAATTTGAGAGCAAAGAAAAAAAAAAAAAACATTTTTGTCACTTGAAGGTGGATCAAACAAACTTAGTTGAAGTATAAAATGAGTTGTGTAATTTGTACAAGGTTGATTTCCATTATGATAATGATGGTAAAGTTGTAAGATATCGGTCATTTTCATGTTACCTATGATTTATTATTTGCATAAATACTTGTTCTGATAAACAATGATAGTGCATGGTTTATGAAGGTCTAAGATGAGCAATGCCTTTGGAAATGGTGCAGCAAATGCCATGAAGAATGAAGCAGGTCCTAATTTCATTGGATACTTTAAACATCTTACATCGGAGCTGCTTATGGACAGCGAGATGCTTCAGATACCTTTTCCCGAATTCAAGAAAGAGAGGTTGAAGGCAATTCTTAATGAAAGCGTGGACTGCCTAACACAAGAGACTGACCGGGTACAATTTGATTTACAAAATACTGGTTAATATGGTTTTCTTTCACATTTTTATTTTGATTTTAGTTTAGTATAATGTGGGCAGTGTATGTTGTTATTTGTGTTCTGTCTATGAATTCTTGTGTCCTAAATCTAATTTATTACCATTTTAATGTATACCACAAAATAATATGTTCAACCGATCATTGTGAGAATTAACAAAGCATATGTTGATCTACCTATTGTTTCCTTGAGATAATTTAGGTGTTAAACTGTCTACTCTGGTTATTAGTTTTTCGTGTGTTACATCTAATTCTATTGTTTTCAACTGTTTGAATTTTATGCTCTTAGAACATTGTTGGCTCACTTGATTATGCAGCTTTAGGGGTGGGGTTGAATCAGCGCTCACAAAAAAATCTATACACTTTCATTTAAGCTTCATTTATCTTCAATTATTTGATTATTTGAACAAGGTTAAAATTTACCAATTTATTAATTTTATTTTTGTTAACATTCTCGTTTGTTTTTTAACAATAACTTTTTCAGAGATCATACAATACTCATTTTTGTTGACTCAATCGCTTAATGATTCTTTGCATGCTATTGTATTACCTTTCTTGTTTTATGCTTTAAAAAAAAAATGAAGGACAGGTCAAGCTTTGTGAAAGCACATTTTGAAGCCAAGCGATTTTGAAGCAAACATCCCTTGCATCACCAATTCCTCATGTGAAATGAGTTTGCGAGGCTTGCGGCTCTCTTGGTTTAGCCCTATAGCGCTCACATGGACCGCTTTACGATGCGGTTTCATTTCGTCCGTTTTAATACCGAGAGCCAATTTAATTTATTAAATAATATAAACTTCCCTTTTGCTCCAACCCTCATTCAAAGTTTAAAATGCGCTGCCTATAGTACTTGCACCCCTTGACCTCACACTCGATGATCTTGGCCTTACTTGCGTGCATCTCAATGATTACTTAGCAATTGCGACTTTCCTAGCATGCTGTCGGTCATCTTTTCGATGTGAAAAGTATTTTTATAGTTTTGAAAAGTAGATGATTTAATTTAACCTAAAAGGTATATAATTTTATGAAAATAGTGTATTTTAATTTTGAAAAATGAGACCGATTGGATCTCATTTGCCCAATAAATTTATATAATCGTGCCGGTACCACAAATGATACACCTTCTAGAAAGATAAGTGTACCCTGCGGCGGTGGACCCAATCATACAAACTTACGAGGTTTATGAGATCCATTTGGTCTGCGAACCTTTTATATGTGACCGACAAATTCCTCTATTTAATACAAAGATTAAATAATGTTTATTTTACCTGAATTCCAAGTTCCTTATAGAGTAGTTAATTACATCCCAAGTGACGGGAATCACTTGAGAAAACTCTCGATAATGATCAGTGGTTCTAGTCTTCAAGAATTCAAAGTTCAAGTTTTCAAGGTAGGACGTGGAAAAAACAAGTGGGAATGACTCAAGTAAGAACAATCATTTCAGGAGTCCAAATAAAGTAAATGGTAGGGGATGTCACAAATTCTGAGGGAAATTCTCAGTGACCTCCCAAACTATCCTACTGTGCGGCTGTGTTTTAGAGGATTTTATTTGAATGTTAAATCCCGTCAATTTTATTAGTTGAGACTTACACTTGCATAGTAACTGATTATGCAAATAGCCCGCAGAGATAAGAGGTTTTACGTCATTCTAGATGACAACCTCGGAACCTAAGGCAAATTAGGACTTACGCTGCACAACATAGTTGTACAGGGGCCTAAAAGAGGGAGAGGAATTACGTCGCGCTAGGCGAGCTACCTCGAAGTCCTATGGGTTGTTTAAACTAGAAAAGTTTAGTTGGTGTAGATTCATTCTGCTGTTGTAGAATGACGACCACCTCCACCTGTAGTTCGCTCCAAACTCCTTGCCGTGCTGCCCACGAAGTTGCTCTGAGTTCCTCGTCAAAGTAAAAGTCCTAAAGTCTAAAGTTCAAACAGTTTTATCAGGTGTGTTTCAATGTCTCAGTTTGGCTGTCATGGGGGGGTTCAAGTTGATTAGAGCGACACCGGTTAGATCCCACGGTTCCCTCGTTCCGGTATCACTATTTTCTTTTGAACTTATTTAGTTTAAACGAGTTGGGAAACTCATTTAAAATTGGGAGATCTCGTTAGCAACCGTGGGTTACCTTCTCCGAGGGACTCCCGTAGGTTCGAAAGAGCGTGTTATGTTTTGTTTTTTTTTATGTTGAAAAAATTATTTAATTTTGAAAAATTGTTTTGTTTTGAAAGTGAGATTGTACTCAGTACCTGCATAATGTGTTAGAGCAAGAGTAATTGCAATAAAGAAACAACAACAAATAAAATGTACCTGTGTACGTGGCGTACCTGCTGCTGCTATTCCTGTTGCATGTTTAACTCACAAAATACAATATAATTTGCAGAGAATTTAAATAAATTGCGGAGAAAAGAAGAAAACAGTAGAACAAGTTGTAGTAGCAGTTAAGAATTCCATGAGAGGTGATCCTAAGGTCTCCTATAACTCCTTACTGTAACTAGCGAGCTAATATGGTGATCCTACGATCTCCTACGGCTCCGGTAAGCAACTAGCAAAATGTGTGCGGTGATCCTACGACGCTGGACAACAGCTAAAAATTTCGAATAGCGCCTGTATGAGTTCCTATGAACCCAAACAGCAATGGGCAACACCTATGCGGCTTCCTACGAATCCGAATAGAGGTGGGCAGCAACTAGATGACTTCCAAACGAACCCAAATCATGGTAGACATCTCCTACGTGGCTTCCTATGAACCCAAATCGTGGTGGGCAACAACTAGACGATTTCCTATGACACTGAACAACAAATAGAAGCATTGGACAGCGGTCCTACAACTCTTACAGCTCGGGGCAGCAATTAGAAGCGTTGGACAGTGATCTTACAGCTTCCTACGACACTGGGCGGCAACTAACACTCCAAATCATTAATTTCAGCACATCGCAGCACTCTAAATCATTAATTTCAGCACATCGCAGCACTCCTACAACACTTTACAGTAATTGGCAACCTCAAACAGCATTTAAATGGAACACAAAATTCTCCAAAACGATGATAAGCCATCCCAAAATGGTACATTAAAAGACTTCTAGAAAACTGCAGCGAAACATCCTCCAAATCACTTCAAAACAGGTGTTCTAAATCACCTTAAAACAGCTAACATATATTTAGAATAGCTGAAAATAATTTCAGCAAGTTATAAGACCTCTCCCAATCAAGTGCATATATTTGCTAGCGTCACTTTCAATGGGGATTTATACCTAGCTGCAGTTACTTCTAAGACACATTCATTCATAAATTATTTAACTTGGATGGCCCTTTCTTGCCCTTCCCCATACCAGACAACTCTATTCCAGAATCACTTCTACGTAAATCAAGACAACACCTTGACTCTCCTTTACTTTGTGACATAATGCAAATCTATCGGGAGAAGAAACTACATGCGTGAATAATAATTTTTTTTTTTTAAAGGTGGATGAGTAAAAAAACAAAACTCAAATCTCATAAATCCTTTCTCTGAATTGGGAAATCTATGATTTAAGGTAATTATTTAACAATAGCAAAAGAATCACCATGAGATTTGAATTAAATTTTGCCCAAAACTAGCTATCAAACAATCAGCTAGAGTTTACAGGGTTACCTTGCTGAACGAGCGATAAAAAAAAAAAAGGGAGGCAGTGGGCCTCGATGCAGGGAGGCTGAAGTGAGTGAGGCTTCTGATCGCACGAATGAAGAGGAGCGGAGATGCTTCTGCTGCGCGAGGAAGAAGCGAAGCGGTCGAGAGGGCTTCGGTCGCGCGAGAGATGAGCAAGGAGCTTCGGTTCGCACACGAGGGGGAAACAGGAGTTGAGTAAAGGCTTCAACGTGAGGCAGGGGAGTTCGGTCGAGCACGAGTCTCCGTCGCAGAGAGGAGAAGCGGAGCTTCGATCGGGAGCTGCGATCGGGTCGCAGATGAGCGGGACAACGATGGAGGGGAGCCGAATAAGGCTACTCGGTGCAGTGCAGATAAGGGAGCTCCGCTGAATTTGTCGAGAGATGAAGGAGTAACGGAGGCGAGAGCGTTGTGTGGTGTTTGATCGAACGCGAGGAAACCGAGCAAGAAACGTCCGAGCCGAGCAGGAGGAGGGAGTCGGGATTGAGCGTGAGGAGGAAGAGGAAGTCAAATCGTGTCTCGAGCGAGGAAGGCTCTCGGTGCAGAGGGGAGGAGCGAATGGGAGTTTTCGGTCGAGAGCCTCTCGAATCGTGCCGAGAGAGAGAAGAAGGCGAGCGTCCCCACTAGAATAAGAGCATGGTCAATAGCTGTTACTCTAGAAGCAGTTGGCGTGGAAATTAATGAATTCCAAATGCAGGGAGGATTAATTGAAAAGCATTAAGACCTGAATTAATTTTAATTAAGGCAGCATTTAAATAATCCATTTGAATTTTAAAATTTGAATTTCAAATTCAGGTAAGCTGGTGCCTAGCCCGTGTTCAACCTGAGTCCAGCCTGAATCAAACCCGAGTCGGACCTGAGTTGAGCCTGGGCCCGCGCACCGCTAAAAAAAGTGCATCGATATTCGTGCTAGTCGCTCGTGCGCGAAACTATAGAGATATGGGTGTCCTTCCTAGCTAAAGTAGATGTTACGGATGTTCGGCGCGGTTCGTTTCGTCATTCGGGGTCGTCCGGACGAGTTTGCCCGGACGAGTTTACCGGCGGGCGAGTTAATTTAAGTCAAAATTGTGTGGGGTGTGATGTGTGCTCAAAAACGCGGCATTATCGAGCGTTGGGGTCGCCAAGGGAGTTCCTAGGGGCTATTCCTATTAATGTAGGAACTCGACTCGAGTTTCATGTGTCGATCCTAATCAACTCAACGGAATGTCGAAGATTTGAGATCGCCCATGCGAAACTCGAATGAGTGACAAGGTGGCTCGAATTTTCTAAATGGTGTGGGTTCCGTACTAGTCCTCTAGGAGGGTCAAACAAGAGAAGCC